ACCGGCGACCCACTCCGGCAATCATCTCCGGTGATCATCCAATTTTTATTTTTTTATTTTTTGTTTAAAGATGTTGTGAGATCAAATCTCAAACTCCGGCCATCTCCTCCTCCGCCGCCCATCGAATAGGTCATAATTCCATTGATAAAGTAATTATAACAATCTAAAAACTCTATTTAGATCAAATCTAACAAGAACCCAAAAATTACAACAATTGAAAAAGAAAAATTCTTTGATCTAATCTTAAGAATTTTAACCCATAAACAATAAACTATTGTGGACATTGATTTCAAATTATGAACAGTGCCGCCGATGAACAGTGTTCTCGGTCATGAACAGTAACCCGAAAAAAATTAATCTAATTAAATTATTACAGATTGGATTCTAAACCTGCTCTGATACCAATTGTTGGAAACATAATATACAATACAGCGAAAAAATGCATATCATGTAGAATCGAAATTAATTAAAATCTAGAAAAATACCTGAAACGCTTTCTGAATTTCTTTGATAATCAGTCCCAAGATCAACATAGTAGCTTTCTCAAGAGAAAAAGCCTTCAACTGAAATCCACCCGTCACCGAAGAGGAACAGTACAGAGAGATAGGTTCTCAAAATCTATTTCCTTTTTTCATCCTTTTTTGAGGCTACATATGAGCCCTATATATAGGATTGGATCTGCCTTATGGATTTATCTATCTCCTCTCATAAGGCTACATATGAACCCTATTTATAGGATTACACTAGTCTTAGAGATTTTAACTTTAAACAATTCATAATTATTTAGAACTCTATCCATAACAATTAAAAATAGAATATATTTGTTTAAAAACTTTATCCATAACAATTAAGGATAGAATTAGAATTGCATTGTATGTATACCTCTTCTAATGACATTAGTGAGACCAATTGGGTCCCATATCGAGAACCAATTATTAATCAAATTAATAATTTTAATTTAACAATCAAATCCCTATCCGACCAACTGTTCATAAAAGCTCTTCCATAATATGGGATTAAATATTCATGAATAATATTATCTTACATTCAGTCCCCTCCAGTATCAATTGATTTTAGGAAACTTTATTGAGCAGGACAAATCACCTACTTGCTCATTCCTAAAATTACAATCCCATGATCATAAATAAAAACCATTTTTGAAACATCAAAAATATTTTATTTTATAAGAAAATAAAATTAGAAAAATAATTTTCAAAAACCACCCGTCGATGGGAATTTAATATATTCATGGGATATGCATAATAAATTAACTCATAAAAATGAGTATACTGGATCCTATCTAGATATCCATCACTTCCCTAATGAAATCTAATAACCCAATATTTCAGGCTGTATAACACTTGTAAAACAAGCTTAACCATCATATCAAAGTATATTAGATTATCAAATCGAAAATGATAATATCATCAAGTCTAAGGGACCATGTAACAATTTGGATTCTCTCTCTCTTAGGTGACTCGTCCTAGAGAATCCAAATAAGGTCTTGCGCTACACATATCAAATATGCGCTTATGACATACACCCGGGAAATCTTCATTTCCGATAGCTGAGATCAACCATCACATCTAATATGTCGTTGTCATGCATAATAACCTGTCATAACTAAGCTATCCTTTACAAGTTATAGGTCAAGCACAAATTTAAAAAATCTCTGAATTAGATCATATCTCCAAGCAAGTGACCATCACATTGCATGATCTAACAAAATAATCTCTAAGGATAATATAACAATTATATAAAAAGATACTCAAACAACATGTGCAATAATAAACTCAATTAATAATCAATAAAAAATGTATTGGATGTTTAAGGGCATATAACACTACTCTAGCAGTTTAACCCCAAAACCATTCCTAGCAACCCCAAACTTTTGAAGTGATCTCAAAATTGCTGAAATGCTTTGGGGGGTTATGTGAAAATTTACGCTAATTCTTATTGAACAAATACAATATCTACTACCCATCATATAATCACACACAGAAAAAGGTGAAACAATTCATAGTAATCTTACGAAGTACTATTAATCATTGGGCCTCGAGCTCTGGGGATCATCTTCTTGCTGCTGTCGTTCTCTCTGTGGGTTACTAAGGGAAGGGAGAGGATTGGATCCTTTGATGAGCCAACCCAATGCAAAAAAAGAAACCCCAGCTAAAATAGCAGTACCCCAAGCGTGAGAGTACCATTTGCCGTACTGCCTGATCGCAAACCGCCACTGCTCCCTTAGAGTCGCAGGATCAGGGTTTGATGGATCTGGAGGATTTGGGTATTGTTGGGTTTGTGGGGGTTTGGGAAATTTTGTTGATTTCCAATCCGACGCGGGTTGATTTGGGGTTTTTGACATCGGATTTGTTGAGGGTTGCTGACGATCATCAGCCATTTTTCCCCCCCTTGGTTATTTGGGGTCACACTGTGTATTATGCATAGTGTGCTGAGCTTGAGGAGTCT